CCGCCGCTGTTAGGCCGGAGGCGGGGCCCTAGCCGAGGGCGGGACCGATGATGCAGAGGGGAGGCACCGACGGTGAGGAGCCGGGGGCCTCGGGGAGAGAAACGAGATCGGAGCCGAGGGGCGGGGCCGGAAGGAGAGGCGGGGCCAGAGAAGAGAAAGACAGGAGAGACAGCTCTTAACGTGTGAGTTGTATGCATGTTGATGTGTGATGAAGCAGCAGCTAGAGCCAAGCCCTGGAGTCACACAGACTGGCCAGAATTCCAGTTCAGCACCTTCCAGTGACCCTGGAAAAGTTGCTTAACCTCTCTGAGCCTCGGTTTCATTCGGAAAATACAGGTAATAAAAATCACTTCCTCGAAGAGTTGTTGAGAGGATCACATTAGGTAACTGATGTAAGGCATGGTGCAGGCGCCTGGCCAGTACAGGTGAGTAACTGGAATGGTGTCCGTGTGCTGGGCGTATATGTACATTTGGAAGTCCTGAGTGTTGTGTTGTGTGCTTGGTGCCAGACTGAGGTTGGGAAGGGGAATGCAGTGTGCTATGGTCGCTAGGGGCACTCTGGTGGCGTAATGCCTAAGGCATTTGGCTGCTAACCAGAAGGCTGGCGGTTCAAACCCACCAGCCACTCCTCAGAAGGCAGACTGGGGCAATCTACTTCTGTAGAAATACCCCTCGGAAACCCAAGGAGGGGTCACTATGAGTGGGAATTGACTCGATGGCAGTGAGTTGTTTTTTTTTTTCCTTTTTCTTTTTTAACCCTTGCTAGGGCCTTTGTCTGCACAGTCTCCATCCAGCACTACAGCTACCCTGAAAAGTAGATACAGGCAGAAAAGAGGCAGAGATGGAGCAGTCAGAGGCGAGAGAGAACCAGAGATGGGGAGGCACAGGGGTGCCTACAGAGATTCAAGGAGGGAGGTACCTTTCAGCTAAATAACAGATTAGCTTATAAAATAAAGAATATTGCCAGTGAGTATAAACAATCATCTATATGAGACCAAATGGTCAATGATTACTTTAAAGCAAAGATGAAAAGGTAAGGTGACAGAGGGGAAGAAAAAGGAGGAGGGCGGGATTAAGAGTGACAAATGCCAGTCGCAGCAGTTGGCCACTGGCCTGATCAAGCAAAGTTTCAGGCTGTCTTGGCAGCCACTATCTCAGGACAGTGGTCAAGGTGGAAATGAGGCTGCTGAAGGGTGGAGAGGTAGCGGAGTTAGGCATCCTCAGCTACTTTTTCCAGAAGTCAAAGAGGAAAGGAAGAAGGAGCCTGGAGGTTAATAGCAGGGTCAAGAGAGGCATTTTAAACACTTTTGTAGAAAGGGTGAGTAAGCAGGACCCTTCGACACACACATCTAACGCATTGCAGAGGCCTGCTGCAGCCTTGGCCCTTAGCCTTCACAGAGGTCAGCATTGCTGTTAGCAGCCCTGGCAGTGCCAAAAACCTCCCCACAATCAGTCCCACACCCACTGGGCTTCAGTTTTCCCACCTGTAAAATGAGGGGGCAGGACCAGATTGCACATTCCACAAGCATATCTTGCATACCATCTCTGTGGCTATGCCAAACCTCAGATGGCTATGCACAGTGGGGGCTCAGAAAGTTACATATACTGGGCATGCACCTGGGCAGCCTGAGCACGTCAGGCAGTTACTTGTCTGGGCACAAGGAAAGCCTTGACAAAAACAGGCGGGAAACAATTTTGCAGTTTATATTAAGAGCATTACAAATGTTCATGCCCTTTGACCAGCTAATCCCACTCCTAGGAATGCATCATAAGGAAACAATCAGAGCTGTGGATGAAGATTTCTATACAAGGATGTTTATGGAAGCACTGATTACACTGCCAAACCGAATCAACTCAAGTGCCCACAATGGACCAAATGATGAGATAAATCAGAGGACTCTAGGCGCCTATGAACTATAAGAGAAACAGACTCATGACACAGGGCAAAGGTTCAGCTATGACTGGGAAGTAAGTATATATATATAAGACTAGAGGGATCTACTTCATAAAAGTAATGTGGTCATTTCTGAATGGGGGTATTTTTTTCCTTTTCCTTCTCTGAATTTTCTGATTTTTCTAAAGTAAGTATTTCAGAGTCAGAAATATATAATAAATGCAGGATCCTTAAAGGCCAGATGGTGGATTTGGTTTGGGACGGAGGTGCCTGGAAGGCCTCCATACCCTGCTGCCCAGAAGGGGAAGGTGGGCAGCAGCTCATGCAGAGAAAAAAGTCCTCAAAGGGCAATAAGGGGGGTGACTCAGACACTGACCCTTTGGCTCCAAACTTCTCCTCCCACCTCTTCTTCCAGGGCCAAGCTCAGTGCCTCTTGGAATTCGGAACACATAGAGTGAACTGGGTAGTTGCCTGCCTCTGTCTGTCTCTTTATCTCTTTCTCAGAGGGAAGGGCCTGGGATGTAAGGCGATGTCCATTTTACAGCCAGGAAAGGGGCCCATAAGGCCAAGTGCCTCTTAAGGGTACATAGGAGTATATCCAGTGTCACCAACTCTCTGGTCCAGAGGTGTACAAGGGGTAGGGTGGCCTAAAGGAAGTTGGAAAGGGGCTGGACAGTGGGGGAATTAACCATCATTATTAACCATCACTACCCCTCCCCAAACATGGCCAGCCTGGCTGCATCCCATCCGACTGCTTCTTCTCGTTGTTGTTGTTGTTATGTGCCGACTGCTTAGATGTCATTTATTTGGGGAGAGGTCCCATCAAGTACTTAACCAGTCTCTTTGGTTGGTGTGTTTTTACAAAGTCCTCCTCCCTGCCTTGTTTGCCTCCACTTTGGGGCTCCCCCACCCCTGCCCAGCTGCACACACCCACATACTAGGGCCCTAACTTCCCGGTGGCAGCATAGCACGGAGGGCAGGCTCTGGCTTAAAATGCCTCAGCTTCAATTCCAGCTCTGCCCACTTCTTACTCTGCAACGCCCCTAGGCAAGCCACCTCATCTCCAAGTAACAGTTTTCTCCTTCAGTAAAGTGAGAATAATAATGAGAACTAATGAGATGGCACAGATGAAGTACCTCACACAAGGACATGGTGGTGCCTGGGGCCCTGCCTGACATTGGGCAGGCAGGCGATGCTGCCTCAAGGTCATTTGCAACAGAAGCTGGATTTCTGGGCATCTCCTGTGTGCAAGCCTTCATGCCCCTTATCGCAAATCCTCCCCTAGCTGTACCATCACCTGGTAGAAGGGTACAGTGCCATCTAGGCCAAAAACCAAGCCTGGATCCAACCACCAGTTTGGGAGAGATCCAGAGGAGAGAGGAACATAGTAAACATACCATGAAGATGCAATCAGCAAATCTCAGACTGTGGGAATCTCTGTAGGGCAAACCACCCAGTTTCTCCAACAAATTTCAGAGGGAAGAATAAAGAAGGAAAGGGTAAGTATAGACTAAAAGAAAGGTAAGAGACATCAACTAAATGCAATGTGTGGACCTTGGATCATGATCTAAACAAGTCAGCAGTTCAAAAAATAAACTAAGAGATAATACTGTGCACTTGCCCCTACCACCCTCTTTCTGTCATCTTTCCATGCCGCCACCATGGTGCACATGAAGAGCATTAATAATGCCAAGAAGACAGACAAATGACAGGTTCTTAAAGGGCCATGTTCCAAAGTCATCATTTGGTTTCTAACTAGGATGAGGAAACACGGTTCCATTGATGAATTCAGCTGGGAAAGTTGTTGTGAACTTCATAAGCATGATTGGAGGTGCAACTCAAAGATCTAGAAAAATGGCAAAGTAGTCTGCTCCTGTCGCATCAGTTTGGTTTCATTGCACTGATGGTCTCAGCTGGCATCATGGACCATGAGGCAGCAAGATGAAAACACACAGGAGGGAAAATCCCGAGATTCTTTTTCTAGGACATACAATAAAATGCCTCAAAGGGAAAATTGGGGGAAAAAAACAAACAAAGAGGCAAATAGGTCTATTAAACCCTGTTGGATATTTAACAATATGACAAATTATTTTTTAGGTGGGATAATGAATGGTATTGCAGTTACCAGTAGAGTTACACACTGAGTTATTTACAGATAGAATGACACCCCTGGGATCTATATAAAACATTGTCTGCTGGGGGAAGGTGGCCAGTAGGGGTGGTAAGAGATGAAACAAGAGTGACCTGCATTGATGATCTTTAAATCTGGGAATGGTGGCATACAAATTCTTTATGCCATTTTCTCTACTTTTGCGTATATTTGGAATTTTCCATAATAATAGTCATAAAAAAGAGACAGTTTGAGACTTGCCCTCTGATGCTCCTGAGGTCTCTGGCAGCCTCAGGGAGGGTCACAAACTTCAGACCAGGGGCCATGGCAGTTAACACCTGGTCAGCTTCACCACTTCCCCATGCTGTTGAGTTCCTGGCTCCAGGCCCACAGTGGTCGCTCATAGCATCCTTTTGACCAAAGGGGCTGGGAGCTTCACTTTGGGGGCTCAGGCAATGGGCAGCTAAGAAACCGAGTCCCACTGCCTGGACTGGCTGTCAGAGGAGGTTGGGGGACTGGAGGGTGGAGGCAGTCTCACTGAAGGGGTCAAGTCTGAAGATCAAGGCCAATGATAACTCCTGCCCTTGGAGGGCCTGCTGGGAGGAACAAAGGAAACAATTCTTTGGAAAGCTCCGGAGAGCACAAAGCACTATATGAAGTAGAGGATTATTCCCAAGTGCTGTCTCTCCTCTCCTTCCTCATCCTGCTCACATCTCACCTCTACTCACTCAGCCTTCCTAGGCCCCAACCTCTCCCTGGGGACTGTATCTCCCCTTTCTCGGGGGTTCCAATAAGCCACCAAAAACAACACTATACAGAAAGTCCCACACATGGCTGCTCCTTTTGAACAAACTGTGAGGGGCAGGCTGCAAATG